TTTAATTTATTAATTATTTAATTAAATTCACTTGATACTAAAAGTAATATCACTTTTTATATTTATTTATACATATTTATAATAAAAAAAATTCTTAACTTGTATTTTAAGGACACAAAGTAAAAAAATCCTTAATTATATAATTAAAGGCAACAAGCATTCTTTACATGACATTTTTTAACTTGGGAATCTCTTTGATGTATACAAGAGACTTTCTTTCTTGTCTAATTTCGCTAACGGCTCCCATTAATTGGAAGGACAATTTGAAATGAAGTAAAGAAGTTAGCTGTTAGAATGAGGCAAATGAGAAGCTAATGACTAAAACAAGACTCGATTAAAGAATTGAGGACAACAACAAATTGACTCTTTTGACATTTTAATCTTTCTTGGAAGAGGAATCTAAGCAATTAATTGTCTCTGCTGTCAATTCCACCCCACTATAAATCTGTGCTCACTTTTGCAGAGAAAGTGATTTAGAATTGGCCATTAAGATGAAAAGGGGCATCGCATGCATTTTGATTGAATGTTGAACCCCTCTTCACGAGAAATGGTACAAATAAATATATGAATTTTATTTTTTATTTAAAAATATAAATTTTATTAATTTTAAATAAATTAATAATTTTTTATTTTTTTATTTAAAGATATCAGTTTTGTATTTTTTATTAAAAATTAATTGGATAGTGATATTATAGTGGCAAATGGCTTTTTAATCATCTAATCAATCTTTAACTAAGAAAAATGTAAAATTGATATCTTTAAATAAAAAAATTAAAAGTTTAATGTTTTATTTAGAAATTAACAAAACTTACATTTTTAAATAATAAATAATAAATTTTATATTTTTATCTATATATTTTCCTCTCTCTCTACTATAAATTAACGGGTTCTTGAGATTTGGTTGTCTTTTCCTTTTATATGGAAAACTTGTAATCTTTGAATTGAGGGTTTTGAATTCTCTATATTGAAGTGTGATGCACGTGAGTAGTTGTAAGTGAGGCCACAAGAGGAATGCTAGGAGCACTCGCTCCAACACTCTCCTTTTGGCAGCCGCTCATCTATTTAGCCACGTTGCCACTGATTTTGACGCTTTAACTTGGAACAGGTAATTGTAAGTAACTAGCTAAAAGACAAAAAAGTTAAACTAAAAACTAAAAGTAGGAATTATATGATAATCTAAAAATAAGGATAAATTGGATGAAAATTTATTGTTAAAATTTAAGGTAAATGACAGGTTTTAAATTGTATAATTTAAAATATTAAAAAGTCAATTTTATAATATTTAATAATTAATTTTTTTATTTTTTAAAACTTATAATATTATATATATTAATTAATTGAATAATATGATATATATGATATACTTGATTTTAAATTATAATCTTTAATTTTTATCTTTTTATCATTATTCATAATCTAAATATTTGAAGT